ATGCACTGGGAGTAAAAAAAAAAAAAAAAAAACACTGTGCATCTGAAAAGGCTTTTTTTTTCTTGCAATTGAATAAATTTGTGTCTGTAAAAAAGCTACCTAGAGTCTTCAGCCGCCCTTTTCTTCAAGTCGTGTTTACATGTTTCGAAACAGTGTACAGGCACACGAAGAAAACTCTGTAAGAGCTGTTATGTACACAACAAGATTTGTGTTTAATAAGAACCATACCGTCCTTATCAATCTTATGTGTCTAGGAAAAATAAAAAATTCCATTCTTGTTATGTCTAGCACCTTGAGACATAATCAGCTTGTGCAGGACTAAATAGTTATTTTTAAAAAATAGTAAAGGGGTGCTAAGCGTGCATGTGGTTTGTCTATATTCAAACTGTCCATTCTGAGGTTTATCATTTGGAAAGTTGTTGCTTGTATAAAGATAATGAGAAGATCTTATGAAAAACAGAGATAAAGTCACAAAATACGCAAAACGTACGAATACAAATAAGGGAATGAATTCATGTTTAATTCTGGTTTCATATGTATTTGTCACCCTACCAAATTATAATCAATTAGGTTGTGTGTCATATGCTGCTCTACAACTTCTAAGATAAATTCATTTTATAAATGGCTTTATTGCAAGCCATTTTCATCCTGGCATCATTCTCAATATCGTTTTTATGAATAGCATTTATGCTAACTGATTACATCTTGAGCGCACAAGATACAAGTAGATTGGTCAAGGAAAAGAAAATCGTGTAATCGTGTCCTTGTGTTAAAGCAGTTGTGAAGAGATCAGTTCCAGATGTCTGTGCTACTTGCCACATTCATGCTACTTGTCATCAAACAGAAGAAAGAAGTGTCTGTATTTGTAACTATGGATTTGTGGGGAATGGAAGAACCCATTGTCAAGGTAGGCTACCTCTTTGTACAATGGCAAGAAACTGTGCATTCCTAAAATGTCTTCTCTTGGCTGATATCACTGAGTTATTCAAAACAGAGTAAGAACTTTGATCATTTTCTGACAGTATTTCCAAAACCTGGGATGTATATGGATTGGTTTTCATTTCTTTTAATGGCTAGCCACGGGCTGTACTTTACTTGTACTTAATGTAAGTATTGTTTTGTACTTAGTTCTTTAAGTATTTTGTTCAATTTCTGTTGCATAATGAAAACTTGTAAATTCTTTCTGTCTTAGAGAATATAAGACAGCGTATCGGAATGGCTTGTTTAATTTTTTTTTTTCTAACTTGAACAATTTTTTCTTTTATATGATAGGGTTCACTATTATTCTTTTTAACCTATGCATTGTTGAACTGAGAGCTACACAATAAAGTTAGGCAAGTTAGGTAGTTTGCTAGGTTAAGTCCCTGTCAGCTGAGCGAGCTGAGTAAGACGAGCACAAGCTCCAGCAAGTGCTACAGCCAGTGTACGCTGGAAGGAGGAGCAGGGGAGGGGAGCAGGCCCTTCCGATTTCAACAGCTTGTGGATCGGCTCAAGCTGTGTCATGAAACATCATTCACCGTCTCCTCCAGGGACAACAATCTCTATTGGTCTAAACACTCCAGCTTTCAAGCAGTGTTTAAGGCCCAAATAACTTAGAAAAACAAGCAGTAAAGGGAAATCTTGTCACTCAAAAATGAATAAGGAGGGGAGGGATTTTACTTTTTTCATATCTCTCTGATGTGTTTTAAATATGTTGACAGACAAAGATGAATGCCAGATTGGAGCCACCAAGATCTGTGGGAATCATACCCTGTGTCATAACACACATGGAAGTTTTTACTGTGTTTGTCTTGATGGTTATCGTGCCTCTAACAACAACAAGACATTTATTCCCAATGATGGAACAAACTGTACAGGTAGATGTCACAAGAAATCTCGACAACCAGGAATCCAGAACTGCCTTTTCTACTGCACCAGTATTTTTCTGGATACTTTAGAATTTTCTTTCCCAAACTGTATCACAGCAGGTCCTGCTGTATGCTACAAACACTTGTTTGACATCTAGGTTCTAAGAGCTATGAATTAGTTCAATTTCTGATCCTTTGCCCTTATGAATTATTGCTACAAAGTCCCATTCAAGCAATAATCCTTGCAATAAAAAAAGCTAGATCTAAGAAAATAAGTTTATACTTCTTCTTTCCGCTTGAGTGTCCTGTTTGTGTTTAGTGTGGATATTAGTTGGTTTCTTGTCACAGTAATTAAATGTTTGTAATTGATCATGATATTTGCAGAGGTAAGATTTTTTCTGGAATGGTTGTAGCAGGAAATAGATTGGAAACTATTTGTCAGGTGAAACAGAAATGAATTTTAAAAGACAGCTACAAATTTCTAGGAATCTCATCCTTCCAGATGGTTGAACACTGGCCAATGGTAAGCTCCTTGATTTCCCAGAAGAGCCCTCAGGAGCTACGCAGAACCATTCAGGGAATCCTTTGTGCATTTTAAGCTTAGGTCTTGCATTAACTAATAAGAAGAAGAAAAAGAAATCTGTTAAGAAATGCTTACATTTTGCTCTGAATTTCTAGATATAGATGAATGTGAGGAATCTGGGCTGTGTGGTCACAATGCAAGATGTGTGAATACTGAAGGCAGCTACAAGTGTTTCTGCGTCGATGGTTATAAATTAGAAAACGGAGAGCGTTCGTTCCATCCAGATGGAAATATGGTTTCATGCAAAGGTGAGGGCCTTTGGATGCTGTTCGTGTTGGCTAATAAAATCAGATCTGTCATAATATAGTGGTACTTGCTCTGACCTGTAGTTCTAAGTCGGCAGGGCAAAACTCCTCTGTGTGGACTTTACTTGCTGTATGATTATTCTTTTCTTCTCGCATTCAGTATGTTGCAATTTTGTCTGGATGGTAGAGTCAACACAGGATGTGATTGCTACAGGATCGCAACAGTGGTTTGAGTGTGCAGCATCAGAGAAGTGTAATATGCTGTGGAGATGATATAGTTAGTTTCTGAGCAGAGAGGAAATATGCCATAATCCACTTACATAAATAATCACAGTGCTTGAAGGGAAGGGAAGAAGGGATAAATAGCTGGTGAGAGAGGTCAAGTGAATAAACAGGCCTAGGGGATAAGAATAATAGTTTAGCCATTTTTTACTGTGCCACCTGCACAAATAAAATGCTCCGTTTATTTTGCCATAAAAAGACGTAAATCTGAATTTGAAGCGATTCCTCTTTTCCTCTCTCCTATTTCTCCAGTATAAGGTTTCACAGATGCAGAGTCCTAGCAGTGTAGCCTGTAGCTGTCATGGTGCCCAGTGGACCCAGGCACCCTAGGTGCAAGGAACTGCTTTGGTTAAACGCATCTCTCAGTGCCAGATCACTGCAAGAGCTGTTAGTAAAGCTCACGGTCTCCGCTTTGATCGGTTTTGCCAGCTAGGGTGCTCTGCTCCGGTTTGCCAGGGTTGCCAGTACCCTTCTTATCTTACTGACTGTCCCCCTACACCATACACTATGTATGGTACGAAGCGTGTCTGTACTGACTGTGCCACTTGTGGAGACTGACAAATGAGCCCTATCACCTCGCTGTATGGAGAGGAGCATAGCATTTCTGTGCAAGCTGGTTCAATGAGCTGAAGGAATTGAGGGGCAGACGGTTTGATTTCAGTTTCGCAGCAGTGCTTCCCCTTGCCTGCGCACAGGGAGATACAGCTGTGCATCGGGGCCTGAAATTTTCCTCTGCTGTGGAGGGAAAATTCAGACATTGCTGTAACGAAACCAGGCTATCAAAGGCACCATCACATTCCAGTACCACATCTTCGGTGTTGTGAAAGGTTCCAGCTGAATGTTGATAAAGATGTAGGCTCATTTGTTGGTTCGCTGTGGTTGCCAGACTGTGGCAAAAGCAAGTGTTCGGCCTCCCTCAAATTCACCCGGACAGACAGATTTTGTGATGCGACTGTCCACTCCAGCTCTTCTCAGAATGATCATGTGTTCTGTTTTTTGTGCTATGAAATCTTTGCTTTGAACCCAATTCTTTTCTCTTCGCAGAAATCAGATGTGGCTCCCCTCCTGAGATGAAGCACGGCTACATTCTAGGGAACTACAGCTTGGTACCAGGAAGTGTGGTTCATTATGAATGTAAAGAAGGATTTTACAGCGAAGAGGGGAAGTTTTCCTTTTGTACTTCAAATGAAACTTGGGAACCTGCTACTTTAAACTGTAAAGGTGAAAGGAGTTTCTATATTTTTAATTCTTTCTCAAATTCTTCATCAAGGAGGTTTACACATGGAGAAAAAAATGTGTGGAGGAGGAGGATCAGGTTAGGGATCACTGAGATAAACTGGACACACAGAAGTCCTTGGGTCTTGATAGGATACACCCACGAGTGTGGAAGGAGCTGGCCAATGTCATTGCAAGGCCACTCTCAGTTATCTTTGAAAGGTCATGGAGATCAGGAGAGGTGCCGGAGGACTGGAAGAAAGCAAACGTCACTCCAGTCTTCAAAAAAGAGCAGGAAGGAGCCAGGGAACTGCAGGCCCGTCAGCCTTACCTCCATGCCTGGAAAGGTGATGGAGCAGCTCATCCTGGACACCATTTCCAGGTACATGAAGGACAAGCAGGGGATCAGGAGTAGTCGGCATGGATCCCCAAAGGGGAAACGCCGCTTAACCAACCTGGAATCTTTTATGCTGGGGTGGCTGGCTGGAGAGACGAGTGGAGAGCAGTGGCCGTTGTCTCCCTTGACCTCGGGAAGGCTTTGGACGCTGTCCCCCGTCACATCGTCCCAGAGAAGCCGAGGAAGGGTGGGTGAGATGA